CTCCCCACCTACACTCACCTTTACTGGCTCCATCCCCGCCTCTTCGACCTGTTTGTTTCTCTCCACCTATCCATCTTCTATCCGCCTCCCACTCTATCCCTATTTATTTCAGAACCCCCTTCCCCTCCCCCTTTTCTGATGAAGGGTCTATGCCAGAGAGGTCAGCCTTTCTGCTCCTATGATGCTGCTTGGCCTATACACTGAAAGGACTTGACTTTATAGATTCTAGGAGTATGCTTCCTCTCCTGGAGGTATTTAGGACTAGGAGACACAGTTTAAAATAAGAGATGCCCCATCTCACATGGAGCTTGGGAAGAATTTTAGTTATTTGTGGAATTCTCTTTGAGAGAACAATGGAGACTGGAGCATTGAGTATATTCAGTGCTGAGTTAGACGGATGTTTGACCAAGGAGTGAAAGGTTATTGGGGGACAAGGAGGTGCTGAATGAAAATAGAATTAAGGCCACAACCAAATCAGCCGTGATCTTGTTGAATAGCAGAGCAGGACCAAGGCACCCAAAATACCTACTACTGCTCCTATTTCTTAATTCTCGTGGAGCACTTAGCATGTCCCAGGACATTGCGTAAATATTGTATACATTGTTAAATATTTGGTAAGGAACTTGAATAAAATGTAGGGAGGGAGAGAGGTGATACAAACACAATATAATCTTCTTACAGTATCAGTGAAATAACAGTAAGTCACTTGTAAGTATTTGCTCTTCCAACTCCTAAATTTATAGTGGATGCATGTTCTAACTCTGTTCTTGTTTCCAGGATTTGATTGCAGATGTGGAAATTTGTTCTGTGGATTACATCGTTATTCTGATAAGCACAGTTGTCCTTACGATTACAAAGCTGACGCTGCTGAAAAAATAAGGAAAGAAAATCCTGTTGTAGTTGGAGAGAAGATCCAGAAAATTTGAACTGCTACTTACATTAAATTTTTTCTTTTAAACCACGTGAACCTAATTAAACAGCGGAGAGGATAAGCTGAGCTTTGTAGTTCATTCTGGGAGTTTGAAGCATTGTACTTGCATAGAACTTTAAATCATGCATGCCACGAACAATAGAATTTGAGAACAGACTGAAAAGTTCTTTTTTCTTTAAATATTGTGTTTGAAAAATTACTGCTTATTTAAGAGCAAGTCCATTTGCAGCCATTTTAATCTTAGTTAATTGTTGAGCTCATTTTTTTAAAAAGTAGGTGTTCAAGGGCAGCAGTTTTTCATATTAAGCATGCATGTTTCAAATTTGCCTTTTCTTCGTTTGTGTATGTGGCCTTTCTCAGTAGCACGATCTCTCTCAAGGCAGTGTCACAAATGGGCCTATCAGTAACTGTACTCTAATCACTGCTTTGTTCCATTCATGAAAAGGCCCCATGTGTTAGCATCATAGCTTGTTTGCTGCTCCATCTCATTAATAATTTATGTACATAAATATATATGGTTTATGAATTGTGTCCTGAATATGTGCATCAATGCTGACTACAAGTTTGATCAGAAAATACAGTAAGGCTTAACCCTAAGCATAAATCAAACACAAGTTGGTAATAGTGCTGTATTTATGTTAGTTTATTCACTGTCTTAATCTTGATTAAATAAAGTTATAAAGGAAAACTACTGATTGTTTGGAGAAACAAAAAAAGAAAATCTTAGTAGAGAGCTCCTATCTGTGCCTTGATATAAATATAAGACTGTTGTAATACAGAATTTTAAATATTGCTGAAAGGAGGGACATATTGTCAAAGCTTTTCATTTTGCACTCATCAGGACAAACAGATATGAATGTCAACTTGTACTCCAGGTAAAAAGGAAGTTGATTAGTTGGCAAGTCATTTCTGGTCATGACATTGCCATGGAGAAACTATAGGTTTCCCAAGCTCATGTCTAATTCAAAAGCATATTCCTTTTCCCTGCAGACAAATGATCCTGATGCATAATGTATATTGCTTATAGCAGGCATAAGTGAGCCATGTTACACAGGGAAAAGGAAGGAATATATATATACAAGCCTTGCCCAGTTTTAAATTACCTGGGAGCTTGGAGACCCTACCATTGGCTGCGAAAGCAATCAGAATCAATTTGTCAATCAGTCAACACACTTTTTTCTCCTGCAGTATAAATTGGTGTGATTATTTGACATTCTTGCAATTGTCCTGATGAGACACCAGCTTCAACAACATGTCCCTTCTCAGCAATCTATGTATATGGAACTTTGGTCAAAGTATTCTCCTCTTGCACCCTGCCATCCTCCATTTTGATGATGTTTCTAATTATTTTTGTGAGTAAGTTCATTGGTTATTAAACCCTACAGATTGTTTCCAGTGTAGAAACCATATATATAGTTTCTTGACTTGTGTAACTAAGCTTTGCAAATGTGGACCAGTACATAATGCTACTGAACCAGCAATGAAATGTATTTCATGTGGATACATATTTAAAGAGGATTGTGTTTTAAAGTGTTAATGTTAGTTACTCGAACAATAATCTTTTTTCCAATTCTCTTTTTTTTTTTTTTGGTTTGGTGCTTATAAGGGGGATTTGGTTTAAGCACTATGGTTTAACTCCTTAATTATTTACAGTGCATTTTATGGCTTGTTGATTCAAACAATTATGGGCAAAAATAGAACCTCATGATGTTCCTCCTGGAAATCTTGACTTTGAGCACTGGAGCACTTGGTTATGCCACATTCGTTTCCAGGGAACTGAATAAAAATATGAACTAAACGTGCAATGTTGGAAAGAAGTAATGATGGTGGGAGTTTTTATTTCGGGCGATTGTGTTGATTTGAAGCTGCAACAGTGATTCAAAGTAAAACTATTTAAATAGCAAGTTGAAAGCAGCAGGTGCCTTTTTTACATTTTCCTACTGACACAATTCTAGGAATGCTGAGTAATGTTTAAACATGATCCTGTAGTCAGCAATGGCTGTCTGTCCTATATCTAAATCTCCAGGGTTATAGTGAGTTATTCACTATATAACAGCTGAGCCCATTCTTGTTTGCTGCGTCTGTGTACATTCTGCAGCTGGAGTAATGAGCAGGAACCTCAGCTCAATTTTCTGTTCCTCCTTAAACTCAATACTTCCGATTCTAGCATCTCCAGAAATAATGTTGAATGAGATGGGGACAAATAGCAATTTTGCCAATGCCATCCAGAAGCAAAATCTTTAGAACCAAATACTTATTGAAGTACAGGTGTATTGTATCATGATAGTAGCCTGAGCAAAAAACCTTGTTGCCATTGTGTTGTTTCAATTTTCTGGAAAAGTATCAAATTAGTAGATTATTCTAACATTTTACTTCAGCATAGGGAATCGAGTCTCAAATCAGTAAATCAACATTGTGATTTATAATCTCTAGCCAGTTATTTATAATACATGACTACAAATCCAGCTGTGAAAGCATTGTATCTGCATGTTTGCTTTACTGGCAGCAAATTTAAATGCACTCTGAGTTCAGGTTCTCAAAACTTCCTTGAAATCGGTTCTGTTTTGGTTGGCATTCCAGTCTGGCAGGATCCCCTTATCCAAGCACATCACATTTGATGTGACACTAAAGCATTATGTCAAACTTGTGCTAATGTCATTGACGTGAAGCTGATATTAACATAATGTTTCCAAAGTAATAGCATAACCCAACAGCAAACAATTTCTCAAATTATATTTTTTTGTTTTAGATTTATTTTCAGACCTACTAAATGGTGCTTCCACTAACAAGTACATTTCATGGGAATTAACATGTTTTGTTTCACTTTGATATCATTCAATCGGAATATCTTAAGTTTTTCTTTGTCTACATAACTATCTTTCATACTTAATCGAATGTATCTGATCACTCTGCAGTCAGTTTCAACTAGAAGGCAAGCATGTGTGATTATGTATTTTGTAAAATTTCACTTTCCAAAAATGTGACTATGATTTCTGTATTATATTTTTGTATGACTGTAGATAGCCAAGGTTAATGTATTTTAGAAATTACTATTAAGGTCACAGTCTTCCTACTAAATTTGAAATTGTAGACCAGAGTCCAGCTGCTTACAGAGTACTGTACAGAAGCTAGGTTTTAGCAGCTAATCAAAGTATTGCTCGTTTCAAAGGGCATTAAGTATCTGCCAATATTTGGAGTTGACATTTCAGTTAAGGAATTTTTTGAATTCCTGGCAAAAATATAAAATTTACTTACATAATTTCCTTGCAATATCTCTTCCATTAGCATTTTTAAAGCAAATTTAAGAGTATTAAAAGTAAGTTGAACATCCAGTTTGGGATTGGTTGAGATTGACTGTTGACATGCTGTTTATGAGAACTTGCTAATGGTTGGTATCAGTGGATCAATGAGATAAATCAATTAAGTTGAACATTGTCTTGAGCTGAGTTGGTGAATGATTGTCAATTTCCAATAACAGATACTCTGAAAGCTACTGAAACAAACAAGGAATTTGGGCTTTGCAAGCATTTTTGCATAAGACAAATATTGTACTAGTTTCTTGCTGTGTCTTTCTGCTTCTGTATAATACTTGTAAATAAATTTGATTTTAGTTTTAGTCTTCCTTTTGGTCTGGTATGGTGGATTTACTGACATTGAAATTGACAGTAATGCATTCTATCCCACATGGTCTCCAGTATCCAAATTCAGTTGGGACTTGGGAGTAAGTTTTGTAGTGTGTCACTTCACTTCTACCAAAAACATGCAGATTTTCCTAAGAAGACTTGTGGAATTTGCTATTTTACTGTAAGGAAATTCGAACCACTTTCTTTTCGTAGCACGTAGATGTAGAGATTTTAAAAGCAGAGTACATCTTATCTCTGACCTGTCAAATGTACCCTCAACCAGCATTATTTGGTTTAGATATTATGTTTCCAAACAGACTTAGTTGCTGTTTGTTACATCTTGTGCATAAATTGGCTGCTGCAGTGCCTACCATTACAGTGACTGCATTTCAAATGTATTTACTTGTAAAGTGCTTTGGGGTATCTTTTTGAAAGATGCTAAATAAATGCAGAACTTTCTTCACTTTAGTTTCTCAGTTGACTTCACACCCTTTGCAGCTTATGCTTCCAAAGTATAAATTATATAATATCACTGTCGGAGAAGGGCAGCAAAAGTACGAGTGTTTGGATCCCCGATTACTACTTTGTTCAGCACTTGCTATCGTACAAGACAATTCCACAGATTTGGCTGTTTTTATGACAAGCATAGATGCAAAGTGCAGGACTCGACTTTGAAGAACTGTCTGGCTGCCAGGAAAGAAATGTAAACTTGAAAAAAGGCAAATCTGCTGCAAGTCCTGTTACCATGTCCTATGCAACATTCCTGTGATGTATCTTGGTGTTTTATGTTCAAGGCACTATGAACTCCAGTTGTAGGTTGAATTTTTCAGCATGGCATGGATATAATGGACTGATACCAGTATAAATGCTTTGTTACCATCCATAATAATAGTGTTGTAATGTTACTGGAATTGTTATTCAATAGCCTGATCAAGTGCTCTAGAGGTAGGAATTAAAATTGTACTGGAGCAGGTGGATGAATTTAATAATTATGAAAACCTGGATTGTTTAAATAAAGTTTATTAATCCAGTTTGGCCCATAGCAATGTGTCTGGCTTTGAAATATCCAAGCAAGCCACTCGGTGTTATTCTCCAGCTACACTGCATTATACATAACATAAATGTCCATTACTTGCCATGATTTTTATTGAAAATGTACGAATAAAATTCACAAATTGCCAAGTGCTTTAAAGTGCAAGTAGGATAGAGTTGCCAATGACCTTATAAAATAGGAACAGGAACAAAAACAAAGTTTAAAAACCAAAGAACTGTGGATGCTGTAAATCAGGAATAAAAACAAAGTTGCTGGAAAATCTCAGCAGGTCTGGCAGCATCTGTGAAGGAACAAATAGAATTAACGTTTCGGGTCTGGTGACCCTTCCTCAGAACTGATAGTGGCTAGGACACCATCAGTTCTGAGGAAGGGTCACTGGACCCAAAACGTTAATTCTGTTTTTTCCTTCACAGATGCTGCCAGACTTGCTGAGCTTTTCTAGTAACTTTGTTTTTGTTCCTGATTTACAGCATCTGCAGTTCTTTCGGTTTTTAACCTTTTAAAATAGGTCCATGTAAAGGCTCATTCTGCCATGTGTATACAATATATTTGTGGTATTAACTTATTGGCCATTTAATGAAAGTACTAATAGTAAGTCAATTAAGATAGTAGAGTTTACAATCGGATTTATGACAGTCCATGCCAGTGTTTATGCCTCACAAGAACCTTCCCACTTAAATCTTCCCTTGCAATAATCCTGCCCCCCCACCCCCCCCTTAAGTGCTTGTCTAGCTTGTTCTGAATGTTACTACTATTCATTTCAACAACTCCCTGTGGTAGGTAGTTCCACATTCTCACTATCTTTGAGTACAGAAGTAATTTGGTATGAATAGAAACTGTGTTCTGAATATGCAGGTGAGAGAGAGGACTACAGAAAACTAATGAGCACTTGCGTGTGGAATCTCGAGTGGAAAAAGCATTCCAAGATGTGACCATAACTGGTAGAATGATGACTTTCATGATATATTGTACCAACATTTGTCATACGTAATTAAACCTATAAAAGACACCATAAACTGAAGGCCTGGGGATCTTTAATCTTACTGATGCTGATGTAAGTAGTCAAAGGTGACACTTGTGACCTGTGTTAGTGTTATAATTGATGTCAATCTCATATGCGCACCATGTAGGGAACTGTCTTATTATGATTGGAAAAAACTGCGAATGCTGGAAACCAAACAAAAATGGAAATTGCTGGAAAAGCTCAGCAGGCCTGCTACCATCTGTGTAAAGTAATCAGTTTTGAAAAAGGGTCACTGAACCTGAAACATTCTGTGTTGAGAATTTGTGGTTAGATTTCTCTAAACAGAATGTATTAGGTTCAGTGACCCTTCAGAACTCTGAATTCTTTATAGATGCTGCCAGGCCTGTTGAGCTTTTCCAGCAATTTCTGTTTTTGTCTTATTTGATCAGTACTGTATTAAATCCAGATATAATATTTGAGTCCCTAGTCTTCAAACTTGAAGATAAAGAATGTATGGAAGTAAACCATACCTTTTTGTGAAAGGTCAGAAGAGGTAAATAGTAATGACATATGATATCTTGCATGGACAGGTTGCAATGCAGCAGGAAGAGCTTTTTTTTTTCTATATTTGTTCATAGGCAGCATTTATTGCCTATTCCTGATTGCCCAAAGAGCAGTTAAGAGTCAACCACATTGCTGTGGGTCTGGAGTCACATGTAGGCCAGACTAGGTAAAGATGGCAGTTTCCTTCCCTAAAGGACATTAATGAACCAGATGGGTGTTTTCCCCAAACAATTGGCAATGGATTCATGGTCATCATTAGACTCTTTAATTCCCGATTTTTCCCTTTCTCTTTTAATTCAAATTCCTCCATCTGCCGTGGCAGGATTCAAACCGGAGTCCCCAGAACACTTACCTGGATCTCTGTATTAATAGTCGAACAATAATACCACTAGGCCATTACCTCCCTCAACGCTCAATCCTGCCACAGTATCCACTTTCTCAGCTGACAGCACGCCTGCAGTACTGCACTGGACTATGTTGTTGCCAATGTTTTCTTCTGCCTGCTCAAGTAAAAATTCCATGGCACTATTTGAAAAGAGTAGATTTTCTGGGTACAAATCGGTTGCCAGATTCGTGAAAACAATAATTAATGCATTTCAGAGGTACTTTATTGACAGTAAACTACTTTGAGAGTATCTGAGGATATGAAAGGCACTACGTAAATGGAACTTTTAAATACCGTTCCTGTACTTTCCTCATGTTGTCTATCTTTAACTTTCTCCCCTTTTTGTCCTCTTGTTTCCAGTTCTTTTTTTCCTACCCTACTTTTCCCTTTAATTTTTATTTTACTTGTCACCCTCAGCTGACATGTTGGTGGTCTAGGTAAGTGAGGATAGGGGTGATGAAGTGATGTTTGCTGGAAGTACTGAATTTTCTGGAACGTAGGCCATTATGAGGGGAGGTGATGGCCTAGTGGTATTATTGCTGGACTGTTAATCCAGATACCCAGATAATGTTTTGGGTACCTGGGTTTGAATCCTGCCATGGCAGATGGTGGAATTTGAATTCAATAAATATCTGGAATTGAGAGTCTGAGGATGACCATGAATCTATTGCTGATTGTCAGGAAAAACCCATCTGGTTCACTAATGTCCTTTTAGGGAAGGAAACTGCTATCCTTATCTAGTCTAGCCTATATATGACTCCATGCCCACAGAACAAAATTGGTGTAATAATATCGAGAGGATTTCAGACTGAGTGCTGTAGCCATGGTTAAACTTGATGTTTAAGGATGGAAGAAGACAGCCACTGATGTAGAGGAAGTGGTGTTGCAGGGGGGAAAAAAAAACTTAAAGGCAAAATAATTTTCCAAGACTCTGGCTTATCTATGAATGTAATGTGTCATGTTTTTATCAGCTGTGAGGACCCTCAATTTTCACCAAGTATCCATTTTGTATTTTTTCAATGCCTACAGCTAGTAAGATAGTTGCCTTTATTGGCAACTACCGTCAAAATCTTTGGACAGAGTGTACCAAGCAAAATAGGTTTTGCTATCATTCTGTAATTTCCCATAGTTGTATTAAGACTCTACTACGATTAACTCACCCGACCAGCTGTTGAAAGTAAGGATACATTGAAAGTTTTAAAACTGAGTTCACTAGATATTTGTCAGCTATGGCAGGTAAGATACAGATCATTCATGATCTAATTGAAAATTGGGACAGACTCAAGGCTGAATGGTCCGTGCTAACTTGAGACACTGCAGTGGTCTGTTTTCATTTCACTAAGACTTGGATAATAGGTAGACTTGGGCTGATAAGTGGCCTTTGCCAGAACTGCCCATCTTCAATAGAAAATGTAATCCTATCTTCCTTACATTCAGTTGCATTTTCATCATTGAAACTCCCCACCATTAACTACCTTGCTGTCATTATTGACCAAAAGCTGGATCAGCTGTATAAATAATACAGCTGCGTCATCCGGTAAAATGCTAATTATCCTGCAGCAAGGAGCTCCTGTCTTCCTACAGCCTGTTTACTATTCATGAGCACAAGTCAAGAAGGTGAGAGTGTGCTCTCCACTTTGCAGGATGATTGTGGTCTAATAACAGTCAAAAAGCTCAACCATCATCTAGTCAAAGCAACTCATTTGACTGGCACCCCACCAACCAGCACTGAAGCAAACTGCTGTGCATGGTGAAGGAAAATTAGATGGAACGTCATCGTGTATTGTCTATGTACAAGATGCACCGTGATAAATTGCCAATGCTCCTTTAGCGCGTTCCAAGTCCTAGACAACTGTTGCCTTGAACAAGGGCAGCATCTACATTGAAACACAATTAGCTGTAAATTCTCCAAGTCATATACCAAGTGAGTTAATGACTATAGCGGCCAGAACAACTAAACCAGTTCCTGCACTGCATCCAGGACGTGGAAATATATTTTACTCCTTTACTGTCTGAGCCAAGATGCTGGAACTTCTTGCAGACTAGGATTGTGAGCACGCCACGTTTGCTGTAGCAGTTCAAGCAGGTAGCTCACAATGATCTCTCGGAAATTAGGAATGGGTAACAAACACTTCCATTTAAGTGATTCCTATATCCCCTGAGTAAAATAAAGCAGATCTTATTCTGTAACATGATTGCATTGTTTTGGTATCCTTGTTGGCTTTCCTTCCCTTAGGATGTCAACTGTACCTTTGATGGAAAATAAAAACCAAAAGAACTGTGGTCATTGTAAATCAAAGTCAAAAACAAAAACAGAAGTTGCTGGAAAAGCTCAGCAAGTCTGGCAGCATCTGTGAAGAAGAGTCAGAATTGAAACATTGACTCTGACTCTGATTTCTCTTCACAGATGTTGCCAGAGCTGCTGAACTTTTCCAGTAACTTCTATTTTTTTGTTACCTTTTTGATGCAGTACCTTTTCAGACTCCTCTGAGAAAGGCTGACCAACCTGAGGAACGAGTGCACCTCTGTCAAAAACCCTTAAATGCAAACTTGGATTTAGCAGTCTGCCATGTGACATAAGACTTCATCAGCTGGTGTCTGCAAGAGCTCATGGAATTACACTTTTGATAGAAGGGCAGAAGAGATAGAATCGGCAGAATAGATGTGTGTCTAAGACATTGGCAGCAGAATGTTAACAACACACTCAGATGTGTGACTGACTGCAATATATGTTGAAAAGGCATCTCAAAATTAAACTCGCAACTAAGGTCAGAGCCTGAGAAGTCAGAGATCAAGTAGCAGATCAATGATAAGCTAACTACTTCCTGTCTTTTGGTTAACCCTTGTTCTCTGCTTTCTATTTTGTAATGTTCCACAGGGATTGATACCAAGATCATTGTTAGTTGCCATTGTTACAATCGTAGTGAAATGGACTATCGATATTCAAAGTTCATCATTTGACTTTTGTGGACTAAAAAGCTTTTAAAAAGGGCATTGCAATGTCAAAATGGCTGCTGTAACCATCTGATAAGCCCATGTAACCCAGATGTAACATACAAAACC